GGGTGCAATCCCGATCGAACTCAACCACCATCACCACCCGCAGTCTCTTCTGTCGTCAACCTCGTCTCCATACATCGATGACTCAATGAATGCAAATATTGCCGGTGTTTCGTTCGCAACCGTCAGCGCACAACAAGAAGCAGAAGATGTGAAACTCTTGGATGCAATTGAATCTGAGGTATTTCGGTATTCATATTGTTGTTTTCAGTGAAGTGTGTGCACATAATTATATGAATTGTTAATTTCGTTTTTATTACCACAATTTGTTTATCAATTTATGTTTGATGAGCATAAGAAAGTGACTGAATCGTTTGTTTGTTTGTTTGTTTGATGAGATTGAACAAATTGTTCAAGGAGACAATTCTGAGTAAGAATCAGCAATTGGGATTGACGTACGCATTGCTGGAGCAAGGTGCGTGGGTGTTTGCGAAGCAGTTGCTTGATCGATTTCCAGAATTTTATGCTGTTAATGCGTCGTGAGTGATTTTGCTTGTTGTTATGATTTTTTATCATTGGACTATTGATCGTTACCTCTCAAACGGGTATTTTACGGTATATTCATTTCATCCAACTTACTCTTATTGTTAGATGGCTTGCCAATAATTGTTCAGTCATGTTAAAAGATAAGCTTTATTGAATAGGCAGGCAGTCGTTATCCATTTTTGTTTTTTGAACACTTGAACTTTTTGTGATCCGTGAAAAATGTTGCTACTGATCGGTATCTGCGAATGATTCAGTACCGATCCGATGCCACTTAGAAAAATTGTCGTATTGATTCGAGTTAATATTTCAGAAAACGTATCGCGCTATCAATTGCTGAAATGATTGAGAGATCAATAGACGATTTTTATCAAGAGTGAGTTGGTTCAGCTGCTGATTTTCTTTCGAATCATTTGCCAAATTTATCTTTTCGTTTTTCGTTCAAATATTTTTCGGCATCACTTCATTACATTGCTAGTTCTTCCATTCATCATGCACATTCATTTGATTTCATCCATTCAGTTTGTTTTAGGAAATGTAAAATAGGACTCGGTCAACCGAAAACACCTTCGTTGAACGCAACCACACATTCGCTGGAAATTGTGAGTCGATTACATGTCACTTTCATATTCAGGGAATGAATGAAGAGTGCATAAAGCGTCTGTTATCATGGTTTTTTTCTTTTGGGACAGAGTGTGATTCAGTTTACAACTGAAACACTGCAACAGTAAATGAAGGTATTTGTGAACAGAAAGGATAGAGTTAAGGGACTTCGTATTATCACATGAAACATCGTTAACACTTGAAATTGAGCAGCTGAATTGTTCAAAATTGTTGGATTGCTCGATTCATGCTGTTTGCTGCGTGTGATTGATATCTTTACTTATTCGTATAGTTTCTTTGAAAGTTTACCTTTTTAGGTTGGTAGTTGGTCAGAGTTG